TTTTTATCCAGGTTTTAACCAGGAATCTGGTTTTTAACCAGGTTTTAACCAGGAATCTGGTTTTCAACCAGATTTTTAACCAGGTTTTAACCAGGAATCTGGTTTTTCCTCTGTTCATCCCATAAAAAAACCCCACACCTGGATGAAGCTCAGGGATAAAAACTGCCCTTCTGGGAAGACCTTCAGAGTCCAAAAACGAATCCGATTTTTAACCAGGTTTTAACCAGGAATCTGGTTTTCAACCAGATTTTTTTTAACCAGCTTTTAACCATGAATGTGGTTTTTCCTCTGCTCATTCCATACAAAAACCACACCTGGATGAAGCTCAGGGACAAAAACTGCCCTTCCAGGAAGGCTGAAAACGGCCCCGGTGGCACCCGAGCGCTGCCCCAGGACCCCCCCGCTCCACGTGGGGGTGGGAATTCCAGGGAATTCCAGGGAATTCCGGGGCACACCCACCTGAGGCGAGGGCAGTTCTGCCCCAGGGCGTTGAGGATGGCGTCGGTGATGTTGGAGCAGCCGGAGGCACACAGGGACTGCAGCTTGTGGCAGCCCCTGCAGATGGTGATCAGCCCGTCGTCCGTGATTTGCTGCGGGACCAAAGTGAGATTCCACGTGAGATTCCAGGGATTTCCCCTCCCACAGTTCCAGCCCCCGGGAGGAGTTCTGGCTCCCTCCACCCCAAAATGCACCGAGGGGTTTTGCTGGAGCAGCTGGGACAGGAGAAACCCCACTGGAGTGGCTTGGAAATGTTGGGGAAGTCGTTTTCTGTGGGCAGGGAGGTGTCTGGGAGTGGGGCCAGGGGAGGGATGGGGAAGGGGCTGGGATTCCTGCCTTTGCTATTCCTGCTTGGAAAGACCATCCCTGGGCACAGGGGGTCCATCCAGCCCCATTCCCAGACACAGGGATCCCATCCAGCCCTATTCCCAGACACAGGGGGTTTATCCAGCCCCATTCCCAAACACAGGGGTTTTATCCAGCCCCATTCTCAGACACAGGGATCCCATCCAGCCTCATTCCCAGACACAGAGGGTTTATCCAGCCCCATTCCCAGACACAGGGGTTTTATACAGCCCCATTTCCAGACACAGGGGGTTTATCCAGCCCCATTCCCAGACACAGGGGGTTTATCCAGCCCCATCCCTGGCCACAGGGCCCACTTCCTTGGAAAAGGAAGAGGCTGCCCAGCTGCTGTTCCAGACTAACTGTGCAATGGCACGTACAGAGAGCCCATTCCAATCTATTTTTTGGCAAAAATGCACATTTTTGGCACTGCAGAACTGGCTCAGGGCCCTTCTGTGCAGGAAAACTGCATTTTTTGGGTTCAGTTCCACAAAGAGATGAGAGGAAAGGCCTGGCAGGGCCACTCTCCAGGACTGATGGAAAGAATTTTTCCAGCTCATCCTGCAAATGAATTCGGGAGGGCAGGGAAGGGAGGGACAACCCTGACACAGCAAAGGCTGCTCTGGGGCTCATTCAACCCTCCTGAATGGCACCAAAAAATCTGCTTTTCATCAACTGTTTGCTCCAACTGCACCGAGGACGGAGCACATTCCACAGGGTTCTGCTCAGGGATGGGCTTGGAATGTTGGGAAGCCTCACTTACCAAGCAGGTTTGGAGGTTTAAAGTCACCAGCTCGGGACAATGTGCTCCAATGTACTTCAGGGCCTCATCCTCGAGCTGGGGGGGGGAAAACACAGGCACTGAGACAACCTGGCACTGCTAAAACCCACCCACTGGAGCTGGGGGGGGCACCAGAAGGGCTTTGGGGGCCTTTGGGCGATGGAACTTTTTGGGAAGTAAAAGAAATGCCCAGTGTTCCCTCCCCGCCCCCTGAGGAGCAGCAGGAACATCCCAGCTGTGCTTCTCCCCCTTTTGCAGAGCCATACCTGGGTGCAGCCCTTCAGGGACAGGGCTTTGAGCCCCCCACAGCCCCTGACCAGGGCCTGGATCCCATCCTTGGTCACTTGGTCGCACCAGGAGATGATGAGCTGTTCCAGCAGCGGGCATCCCTCGCTTGGGGGGGAGAGAGGGGAAAACATGGGAATGCTGGTTTGTTTTGGGAGGCAATCCTGCTTTTTCACCCCTGAAATGCCCATTCCTGGAAGCCCTGTGAGTGCAGACACTCCCACACCCCACATCCCCCCTGGGTGGGGACACAGTTCCCAAACCTCGGCCCCGAGGGGGACGTTCCCCGGGTGGTCTTAGAGGTGTTTTCCAACCTTAATTCCAGGATTCTGCTGGCACAGCCAGTGCTGCTGGCTCCTACCTCAGTGCTTTCAGGGACAGGTTGGTTATGGAGGTGCAGGAGGCCAAGTCCAGGTGCCTGAGTTTGGAGCAGAACTTGCTGAGGCTCGTGCAGGTGCTGGAAGAGAGACAGGGAGACAATTCCTGCCACGGATCCATCCCAGCTCACACACATCCCATGGGAGGGGCACTCTGGGGGGAGCAGGGGGGTGGGGACACTGGGATGAACTCCCAGAGAGGTTGTGGGAAGTGCTGGATGGGGCTTGGAGCAACCTGGGATTGTGGAATGTGTCCAACCCACGGCAAGGGGTGGGACTGGGTGGGCTTTAAGGCCCCTTCCAAGCCAACCCATTCCATGATTCCATCATCTCCCACACAGCCAAGGCTTTCCCTTAAAAAAGGGGTGGGAAACAGGCCCTGGAGCAGCCAGGGCTGAGGGAAGAGCTCTACTCACGCGTCCGTGATCTTGGTGCAGCCATTGAGGTTCAGCACCTCGATGTTCCTGCAGTTCTGGGCAAAGGTCCTTTGGGAAAGGGAGGGAAAACACTGGGTTGGCCAGGGAACAGAATTCCAGGGGGTTTACAGCAGTTGTGGGAAACGGAACACGGCACATTAAGGTTTGGCAGAACGGTCTCGAGCGTTGAAGAAGAAATAAAGGAGGAATAAAGAAGAAAATCAGGAAGAAAATCAATAAAGAAGAAAATCAGTAAAGAATAAAATCAATAAAGAAAAAATCAATAAAGAAAAAATCAATAAAGAAAAAATCAATAAAGAAGAAAATAAGGAAGAAAATCAGTAAAGAAGAAAATCAGTAAAGAAAAAATCAATAAAGAAAAAATCAATAAAGAAAAAATCAATAAAGAAAAAATCAATAAAGAAAAAATCAATAAAGAAGAAAATAAGGAAGAAAATCAATAAAGAAGAAAAATCAATAAAGGAGAAAATCAGTGAAGAAAAAATCAATAAAGAAGAAAATAAGGAAGAAAATCAGTGAAGAAGAAAATCAGTAAAGAAGAAAATGAGTAAAGAAAATCAGTAAAGAAGAAAATCAATAAAGAAGAAGAAAATCAAGAAAAGAAAATAATCGAGAAACAGGAATCAAGAAAATAATGAGGAAAATCAAGAGAATCAAGAAATAAGAAAAGAATGAAGAAAAGCAAGAAAATTGAGAAGAAAATCGAGAAGAAAACAAGTAAAGAAGGAAACCAAGAAAATGAAGAAGAAAACCAAGAAAATACAAAAGAAAATCAAGAAAATATTAAAAAAACCAAGAAAATATTAAAGAAAATCAAGAACATGTAAAAGAAAATCAAGAAAATAAAGGAAAAAATCAAGAAAATAAAGGACAAAATTAAGAAAATAAAGAACAAAATTAAGAAAATAAAGAACAAACCCAAGAAAATAGAAGGAAATCCAGAAAACCAGTGATTTCTGCTGGCCCATCTCGTGCCCTGGGATTTCCCAGCCCCACTAAAGGCCTCAGCTGCCCCTCAGTGCCAATCCCTCCTGAGTTTGGAACAGCAGCTGACAGGATTTTAATGAGAACCGAGAAAAACTGAATTTTAATGAGACTTTTGAACCCGGGCTGAGGTTAAAAATGACCAATTAAAGTGGGAAATGAGCAGTGTCTGTCCCTGCCCTCGAGGTTTCCCTCACACACACACGGGCTGAGGGGCTGGGGCATGAAGTGGTGCTGAATTATCCCCGTCCTGGGGGGATGGAGGGGCCAAATCCCCCTTCCCAGCCCAATTCCAAGCGGGAAGAAGGGGTAGCTCTACCTTAAGGCGTTGTCCCCCACTCCCAGGCAGCCCCTCAGGCTCAGCTTCCGCAGGAATCCCCCACATCTCTTGGAAATGTTCTCGACCACCCGGCCCTGGGGGAGACAGAAAGGGCACCTCAGCATTGCCCCCCAAAAAAAAACCCCCAGACAGCTGGATTCAACATTTGGCAGGTTAACAACAGGTTTGTTACTTTAGGGTGCTAAGGAAATAAAAATGCCACGGGGAGGATCTCAGGGAAGGGGGAAGGGGGGGATTATTCAGCTTCTGAAGATGGAGAGACAAGGAGCAGTTCCCTGAAGCCCATCGGCCAAGGATGGGGGAATTCCAAGGAACTTCCCCCCAGTTTGGGGCTCCTGGACATCCCCACAGACTCCCCAGGGAATGGGAGGGGAGCTACACCCTGGGCAGCAGGATTTCCAAGGGATAAACCCAAACTTCCACTCAGGAGCAGAACCAGCCCAGGAGTTTGGCAGGAAAAGGGATTCAAACGCTTGTGGCTCCAGAGATCCAGAAAAAGGCTTTTTTTATTTCAAATCTGTGTTCACTGGAAGTCTCCAAAGAGCCCAGGATTTTCCTCTCTCCCTGGGAATGAAAGGGCAAACCCTCTGGAGAATATCTGAGCAGTGCTCAGCAATCCAGAACCTCCCCCTGTGCTTTGGTTGTTCATCACAAACCAGGAGCATCCCTCGGCTCTCCCTGAACTAACTGGCATTTAAAAGCAACAGAAGATGAAGATGCTCCTCTGGAATCTCTTTTCCAGTCCCCAAAAAGCCCCCAAAACCAAGGATCAGGCTCAACACGACATAATCCCACAACCAAAGAGGGACACTGAGATCTCTAAGGTGAGTTTTGGGCCACAGGAGCAGCTCCACGAGCTCCACATCCCTGTAAAAAGGCTGGAGGAGCTGCAACACTCCCAGATTTTGCAATTCCTCTGGCAAGCCTGTGGATCCTGCTTGGATTAGGGGATCCAAACACGTCTGTATCAATAATTTACACCAACTGCTGGATTTAACTCCCTCCAAGCAAAGCCTGAGCACATCAGGAAGCCCAGCTGGTTCTGGAGGTGAGGAACAACAAATCCCAGTGTTTTCTTTTAAAAGGGGTTGGGTTTTTTCAGGATTTTTTTTGGTTTTTTTTTTTTAATGGAATAAAACATTCTGAGGGTTGGTTTTTTCTGCTCCCTTTTCCTGCTCAAGGCACTTTCCATTTTAAGACCACCCCTATGAGTGCAGAGCCCACATCCAACAGATCCAACAACGAGGCAACTCCAAAGCTGCACCTTTTCAGGGAGAACTTTTGACTTCATCCCCCCCAAATCATCTTCACTGAAATTTCAATTTTTGATATTAAAGACAGACAGGGAAGGATTCAACAGACATTCAGCCTTTGTGGTCTCATCAGTGCTGTGCTGACTGGGAGGGGAAGGAGAAACAGCCTCAGTTCTGCTCCAAACAAGCAGCAGTTTTCCCCAAAAACACACTTTTTCTACTAATTTCTGTTTTTTCAGAACAGGCAAAACCACTTTCCTTCCATTAGCCCCTCTCAAGGCTTGATGCAGACACATAATTCTGTCCATTTTCAAAAGCTGAATGGGATTGCCAAGACTTTAAAAGGCTCCTCGAAGCTGAAGAGCTGAAATTAATGATCTCTATCTCCAGGGAAGGTAAAAAAAGGGTTACTCTGGGAGTATGAATCCATTCTAGGCTGTAATTACAGTTTAACAAGGGGGGAAAAAAATGGGTTTGTATGTCACTTAATGATACCTCAATGTCCCTCTGGAAATCAAACAGGTCAATTCGCTGCCAGTTACTGCCATCCAGGGCCAGAACATTCCATGCCTTTATGGGGGGAAAAAATGTAAATGTGTGGTTAATATGATAAAAAAAAAGGTCAGTGGGGGACCCAGTCCCAGTTTTGTTCCTTGGAGGAACAACATTCTCAGTGTCCCAGGTGGAAAAGCCAATGGGGGAATTCCAACAGGGAGAACTGGGCAGGTACCAGAAGCACTTGCTGGGACTACCCCAGGGAATAACTTGGAATTCCAGGTCCCCTAGGCAGGGAATTGGTGCCCCCAGAGCAGGAGGAGCTGTGGGTATCTTCACATTCCTGGCTGGAATTAAGGTGAGTCCCCCCCAGGGGACCCTCAACGCTCACAAGGGGCTTTAGTTTTGGTCCAAACCCCCCAAATCTCACGTGGTTCCTGCTGCAAAAAGGAGGGGCAGGAGCCCAGGGCTGGTGATTCTGCCCTCAGTGAATCAGCACAGAGCTGTGTGTAAAGTTTTAATTACCCAATCAAAGTAAACAACCAGATCTGGTAATAACCAGGAGCTCAGCGTTGGGAAATCGGGGATAAGTACAGGTGGATTTTCCATCCCATCCCATCCCATCCCTCACATGCCCTGAGCTCGTCTCCCAGCCCAAAACACCAGCTCTTGGGCAACAATAGGTGCAGAGTCAGAAAAGGGGGCAGAACTGGGCATTAAGTGATTTTCTCTTTGTGGTTTGAATTGCTGATCTTTGTTTTAAGGTCCTTGGGAAAAGCGACGGCTCCGGTGGGAAATGCACCGGTGGCTGCACAATTCCCTGGGCAGGGAACGTTCCAGAGCCTTCCTGCACCTCCTGCAGGGACCTCACGTGCTGTGCCACGGGGTGAGTGATGCTGTTCCCTGTGCAAACAGGAGCAAGGGGCAGTCCAGGAGGGCACCTTGACACTGGCAGGATCCCGTTCCAGCCGGGACCGTCCTGCTGGAGCCGTGGATTTCACCTGGAAGGTCCTTCCCTCCCCAGACCTGTGTTATCCAGGTGGGAACTGCAACGCCCAGGCCCCACACAGGGCCAGTTTTAATGCAGTAAATAATGTTTAAGCATAATTTTTTTGATCACAACGTGCTTGGACTGATGCACTGAGCAGTTTGTGCAGGGGTGACCCAGCCAGGACAGTGAACACTCCACTCCAACACCTCCCCTGGATGGACATCCCACCCTTCCTGTGGCAGTGCCTCCTCTGGCTGTTCCCAGGATGAACCTGGAAGCTCCAGATAATCTGACCTGCAGCTGGAAGAACTTTCCCAAGTGAATATTCCCAGCTGGATTTCCCCAGCTGAAGCCCACGAAGGACAGAAACCACCCCAAACAAAACACTCTTTTTTCTTTTTTTCCAGGCTTACTCCAACTACATCCAGGGAGGAAATAAACTTCCACTGGCTCTGCAGTACCCCCTGTGAATCAGAATTCCTGTATTTCCACCCAAACTGTTTCAGACCCCCAGCTTTGGGGTTTCCAGCAGCCCTGGGCTCCCCGGACAAACCCAGGCTGAGGGGAAAGGTTTGGGCAAAAAGTCAACCCCCCTCATACCTGGGACACTGGAAAATGCTATTCCAGGCTGGAGTCCCCTTCACTGGGAATTTTCCAGTGTTAACAGGGGACACCAAATAACAGTTCAGTGGCACAAAGGTCCCTGGTACAGCCCCCTGTGTGACTGGGAAGGGCTGGAGCAAGAGGACTTTGCCTCCCCAAATCCAACCCCCTGCTAAAACCCACCAGGAAGAGGAGGAAGGTTCTTACCCTGGAAACTTGAGCACAGCGACACAGAGTGACCACATCCAGGAAGGAGAAAATTCTGGAAGAGAAACGAGAGGCACCTTATTGGTTTAACAACAGGGGGAACGTGGAAAACAAAGGTGGTGGTGGAGGGGGAAAAGCCTGGGGCAGCAAAACTCCTTTGTGATTCAGCTGAAAAGAAGTGCAGAGGCAGCAGCTCCCAAACCAAAGGGAAACACAGCAGCTCTGGAGCCCCAGGGAAACGGGAACCTCAAAGCTTGGAGTAGCTCTGGAGAGGAAATTCGGGGGTCGTGGCCCCACACAGAGCCCCAGAGCCCCAGGTCTGGCCAGCCCATGGAGCACACCCGGGGATTTTGGGATGG